TTTCTTCCATAAAGAGCTTCGTACAGTGTCATTCCAACGCAGGACTGAAAATTATTATTGTTTGCAAATTCAATTAATAATATATGAGTTTCTCATTTTTCACCAAAATCCAAGACGCATAACTGCATTAAATCCTCCAAAGTATGAATTGTTCTTTCTGATTGACCATTTGTATGAGGATGAAATGCTATACTGAAAGTCAATCTCGTACCCATAGCTTCCTGATTCTTCTTCCATAATCTAGAAGTGAATCGGGCATCTCTATCATAGATTATTGATTTTGGAATTTCATGTATCACAATTTTATCAACATATAATATTTCTAATTCAATAATTTCCCCTTGACCGAATTTTATTAAAGCCTTTAACTCTTAATTTATTTCCTAAACCAAGTAGTGGATTTAGGAAATAAATTCCCACCCCATCCCTCTTCATGCCGTCGCCCCCTCCTCTCTCTACCCGGCCCTCCCTCTCTCTCCAATCTCTCTCTCTCATTAATTCCCCTCCCGGATTTTAGGAATTAAACTTTCCCTCCTAGTCCTCTATTCTCTTATTCAAAAAAATCTGAAACTTATTTCAGATTTTAGAATTCAAACTTCTCTTTCAAATCTATTTATAATCCCACTAGCAACTCTCCTTCATTGGTCGACTCTCCCCTTCACCTAGCGTTTGTTTCTTTTGAGAATCCCTCTTCTCTCAAGAACATCGATGATCTTTAAGACGACATCGATACCACTCCGTACCCGAAGCCATTGCATGGCCGATCCTGACACCGACTACGAACTTGCCCACGATGAGCACGGTTTCGTAAGCATTCTCCATTCATCCTTCTTCGACGTCAACCCGAGGATTGATCATACAGTTGAAGATTACATCGAACGCATCTTGGACACCTTGGTGGAAGCGATTGAAGAATAACTTGAGATCATTGAGTGGAGGATTGTCGCCGATCCATGACGGAGGTTCTACTTTTCCCCTTTTCCTTTATTTCTTAAGTCTAACCCTTTCTTGTGATTTGATTGTAGTCATGACGGACGCCTTCGCCTGCTTCTGCTAAGCTTAGTAAATGTAGGAATTTGAGTACATTCATTTGCTTACTAATCTCATTGTTAGACTAGAGATTTTGCTGAAACTACTACTTTGACATAATATTATTTTCTTACGATAATTTGAAGCTTCAAATATTTTGTTATGCAACTTAGCCTAAACGGTAGTGACCCCTCTTATGTTTTGATTCGTCGTTTTATTTGCTAGTGGATTTATTTGTTATTCCTTTACTCAAGAAGTTGTGCAAAGTCTGAACAAAATTCATTGCATCCATCGTAGTTCTACATCAATTAACCACCTGATTTTTGATGTTCAGCTTTAATCACTGACAAGGAATACATTTTGTCACAAATGTTGCAACACATTTTTAATCCTGGCCACCAAAATAAATCTCTCAGTTCTTGATACATTTTTGTACTGCTTGGTTGAATTTCATAGCCAGAGAGGTGAGCTTCCTGTAATATTTCTTCCCTTAAATTGTCAATATTTGGAATATAGATTATGCCTTTATACTTTAACATTCTTTCATCATTGAATACAAAATTCTCTAATTGTCCTGCTTGCACTTCTTTTTTATAATTTCTTAAAAATTTTCATCTTGAGACAATGAATTGCATACTCTACCCTTTAAAGTGGATTGAATCATCAGTTGATTTTATAACATGTTTTTAGTGTATTTCTGATTAACCACTATAATCTATAGTCTTTTCATATCTCTAACTATTTATTCATGCTGGATGATTAGCTAATTTGCACATCCAAGAGTCTTTTTGCATAACGCATCTGCAATTACATTTTCCTTTCTAGGATGATATTATATCTCCATGTTATAATCTTTGATAAGTTCTAACCATCTTCTCTGCCTTAAATTAGGCTCTTTTTGATTGAAAATATATTTTAGACTTATGATTTGTAAACACTTCACTTCTGACTTCATATAGTTAATGTCACCATATTTAGAGTGCAAAAATCATAGCTGCTAATTTCAAACATGAGTGTGATAGTTTCTTTCATGAACTTTCAATTAACTTGAAGTATATGCCACTACTCTACCATGCTGCATTAATACACATCCAAGCCCCCCTCAATGAAGCATCATAAAAAATTTGGAATCCTTTTGAACCTTATGAAATTATTAAAATTGGAACAGTCATTAAACAATTCTTCAACTTTTGAAAAGCTCCTTCACACTGATCATTCCATTCAAATTTTACTGCCTTTTGAGTTAATCTAGATAATGACATTGCAATCTAAGAGAATCATTCTATGAATCTCCTATAATAACCAGCAATACTCAGAAAACTTCTCATTTTTGAAACTGTTGTTGGCCTTGTCCACTCAGCAATGGCTTGGATTTTATTTTGATCAACTGAAATGCGTTCACCACTAATCACATGCTCAAGAAAGTTTACAATGCTCAACCAAAATTCACACTTTGAAAATTTGACATATAATTTGTTCTCCTTAAGTGTTTGCAATACTGCATGCAAATGATTGGAATGACTTTCTTCATCCCTTCAATAATTCAAGATATCATATATAAACAAAATAAAAAAAAATGTGTATAAATGGTTTGAAAATTCTATTCATCAAGTCCATAAATACAACAGGTGCATTTGTTACTCCAAATGACATTACTACAAACTCATAATGACCATGTGTAATTTTGAAAGCACTTTTAGCTATATCTTCCTCCTTAATGTGTAGCTTATGATACCCATAACGCAAATCAATTTTAGAGAAAATAGTAGCTCCCTCCGGTTGATCAAATTGATCATCAATTCTGGATAATGGATATTTTTTTTTAACAGTAAGCTTATTCAATTCCCTGTAATCTATGTAGTATGCACATTCTGAAGCTCCCATTTTTCTTCTTTACAAACAATACTAGAGCTCCCCATGGTGAGGAACTTAGCTTGATAAACCCTTTATCTAACAATTCCTGTAGTTGGCTTTTTAGCTCATGCAATTCGTTAACTTCCATTCTGTTGGGTGCCCTTGCCATTAGTTTTGAACTTGATAACAAATCAATAGTGAAATCTATCTCTCTTTCTTGTGGTAATCCTGATGAATCATCCAGAAACACCTCTAGATATTCTTTGACTATAAGTATATCTTTCAACTCTTTAACTTCCTTATTTGTATCCCTTACTTGGGCAAGGAAACACTGACACCCTTTAGATACAAATTTGTAATCTTTCATATATGTTATTATCATGGAAGAAATTCTTCTATCTCCATAAAATTTGTAAGCTTTTTATTATTATTATTATTATTATTTTACAGTGAAAAGTTGAAGTTATCATGGGCTACAATTTGGCCATAATGATTTTCCCCATGTTTGATCTTCAGAATTGATGCTTGATTATTAGTTAAGGACTTATGCATTTGTTTATTCATATTTTTGCAAATGTTCTACAATGTTTATTCATATTTTTGCAAAATGTTCTACCTAGGTTGTCAGTAAAGATATTCTTCTTGAGCTGGAAGAAATGGATAGGGTGTGCTATATTGATGATATCCTAAATTACAGATCATCTGCAGAGCAAAAAATGCAGGTATAATTTTCATTGCTAATTGATCTACATTTTAACTTATTTGTTGAAAATGGGTATTGCAGTAGAAATTTTTCTTTTTTCGGGGGGGGAAAATGCATGTTTAATCCATGAAATTTTCAATATCTCCTATAGCATATGGATAAGTGAGATTTGAAAGTTGTTCCCAGCATGTGTATGCACCTAAAGTTGTATATGTGACGGCACAACACACATGGATGCAGACACGGGCACATAATTGCTCACATAAATTCTAACGTCCATATAAGCGCTAATATGAAGGAAGGGTGTTGTTTTTTGTCATTTTGAAATCTTTTATTTTTCAGTAATGTTTGCTTATTTGTCTTGATGAATTGAAGGAGCTTTCCAAGATGAAAACTTCTACTACTGGAACAAATGATGAGAGGCTACCTTCTGCTTCTTATGAAAAGCAGCAACATGATGACAGGTCATCTAGCAGTGCTCGGGGATGGTTGAATTGGCTGTCACTGGGGATGCTTGGAGCTGGTGGTACAGCTGACTCTAGTTCATTTGCTGGTGTTGTTTCTGATGAGATCATAAAGGTCATATATAATCAAGATTTTGTATTTTTGTAAGTATCTTTTCATCTTTAGTTCTTATTCTTGGTTTCCCAATGCAGGATATTTATGAGGCCACCGAGTTTAATCCTGTTTGCTCTTTCACTGAGGATTCCTGCAGAAGAGAGAAATTTTTATTCTCCGTCAGTCTCAACATCTGTCAAATTGGTGCTACGATTTTGAGCAAGTACTAAAAAGAATTAGCAATTATCTTTTACTAACCGTTTTTTAGTTATTCTTGCTTTATCACCGAGTTTAATCCCGTTGTTGTTGTATTCTAGCTTTACCTACATAGCTACTGTTATGAATTTTTCATTGGAAGATATAAATCTAGTTTTATCTATGTATTTCACTTATCAAAATAGTTTAATACATGCAAGGGATCTTCAACAACCATGTATTTAATTTCTAGCAATTTGAAGCTCCTCACGCTTTGAAATCACTATTATGTTTTCATGCAATTGGAGTTATCCGTTATGAAATTTTTGATGGATTGATGAATTGCCAAATGATCTTAAGAATTTTGTTTGTCTTGCGTGCCACTAATTTTAATGATGATTAAGAGAATAAACGATATTAATGGGGAATGCTTTGAGTGAATCACATTGATGTAGATCCTGATGACAGTTAAATTTAGTTCCTAACCACCTATTTATATGGATAGAAGCATTAGCATATATTAGAGTTTCCCTAGTCCAATGAATCAATTTTGGTGGAAAGTTTCTATCAGCAAGGGTGAGCAGAATGAAATTCCAGTCACAACACTTGTAAACTTTATCAAAATCAACTTTAGAAAAAAACTTTTTTCTTTCTTTTTGGGACGAGATTTTGACTTTTAGATTTAAACGAGATTTTGACTTTTTAATAGGACAATGGAGAAAA